GATATACATAGAATCGAAGAGTGATAATGCCCAGTAGTCAACCTTTAATCATATTCTCCAGATTATTAAAAATAAAAATCTTAAATTTTCACCCAAAATATAAAGATTGTTAAACCATGCTTATCATTTAACCATAAGCCATCCCTCCTATATTTTCAGTTCTCCCCATCTGTCCCACTGCATGTGTGACAACGATGTTACAATACTGAAGCAAGTACTGGATCTTTTGACACAAATGGTTTCTAGGGAACATCATTGACCAACACTTCAGTAACCTTCCCCTGCTCTGTGTCAGAGCCCTGGGGTCATCTAATGGCCCTCTTTAACCTCACTTCAGGCTTCCATCCACAGCTTCTAATTATGGGCCCAGGAACCCACTCCTAGGCTTAGACCTGGGCCTCCAGTCTCCGCCTGAGCTTTGTTCTAGAGGTGCTTCAGCAGTGTGCTCACCTGACGCCTGAAGCCATTTGCAATTGCAAAACATTGTCATGAGCTTTTGATGTAGGAAGTGAAACTTGGATTCAAATTCCTGACACATATTTCTGAAAGAAGCAGTTTCTTGTTTCTGACACAGAAAATCCGAGAGCTTTGCTGCCTGCTTTAACTGAATGGCTATTATGTGTAATTTTCCACCACTTGCATTATTTTGAAAGAAACTGAAAACTGGAGCAAGAATGAGAGCAAAACATTTAATGAGCACAGAAATCTGTTTCACTGGACTTTGGTTTACCTTCCAAGTTAAAGGAGACCTGATATAGCACTTCTACTTCAAGCATTCCAAAATTATACGAAGGCCAAAACAGTTTCTACCAGCAAGAGCCCTGAGGAGAAGAGGGTAAAATTGCTTCCATAAACCTGAGAAATTTTGAAGGGCTGAGAGTTTTGGTTACTATTTCTAGTCTGTTTGAGAATGCCATATTGCACTCTTAAGCAAAAATCAAGACACAAAACAGACAGATACCTAAACAAACTACATTTCACATCAGATCATCAGAATGGGAAAATATTTGAAACTGTCTTTCACTGAAGAGCTAAAAGGGGATGAGCCTGGCCTCTTTGCAGTATTACTCTCTCAGAGCAGTCTTAATGTAAAGTCAATCTAATTGCAGGTCACTAAAGCCTAGGAAAAGGTGAAATCATGCAAAGTAAGGACAAGGGATGACTTGGGTCAGCTTAAGCTATTTCAGAAATGTAGCCTAACATGCTTTTAAGGGGTTCTGATCTAGAAAAGAAATCTTCATTTGCCACTAGGGTTATGCAGTCAAGTACATTTCTGTGCTTTTTGCTTTAAATATTGGTTGCTACTGACTGATATCACTGTCCTTTGCAGATGTGCAAAGCACAGAATATTTGTGCATTTGTTGCAGAGACCAGTATAGCCACTTGCAGAACACTTGCACAAGATTTTGTGTGTGCAAGTATCAGAGAAGCAGAAGAATAAACTAGGAAGTCCTGACTCAAATTCAGGTCATAATTAATATCAAATAACCAGCTGTGAACTACTTAATTACTAAATGAGCAGAACAGGTCATTGATATTAAAAAGGTATTCTGCATTAATTTTATCTCTAGAAAACTTGACCCAAAGCCCCTGGCAGAATTTTACATGTCACTGTTGAATTAACACCTGAAGGATCTGTTCCTGTCTCAGTGCTGTTTGTTAAATTAATTGCTGTCATACATGAATATTAATTAATTAGTATAAACACATAACTTGTGTAGGGCTCAAAAGGAAGCCATGTAATTCAGCTTCAGTGATGGAAATGCTATGGCTCTGCATTTTCTGGCAAACTGGAGAATGTCTAGATCAGAACAACAAGTATAAGAAGTAAGAAGTTTGGAAAATGACTACAAGGAAAAAAAGAAACTGGGTTTACTCTAGAAAGAAAAAGAGAAGATCAAGCTAAACATGCGAACTGATAACTTAAACAGCTTGGAGAATCTCCTTAATTTCACGTTGCTAAGAACCAGTTAAACAAGACTCTACATCATGTATTTATAATGGCCCTAAAGCATAGCATGTGCTTTTAGAAGTCTCTTCCACTCTGGTATTTCTAGAATTACTGTGACTGTTAATACTATCTCAACACATTTCTTTTCCCAAATTCTACACAGAGATGGAAATGAAATTCAAACACAGCAGTCTTTGAGTAGTTTCTTTTTAACTGTAAAAGCCGAAATGGAGTATGAGAGTGTTTATTCTCTAGGAATTATTAGAGCCAGCACTGACAAGAACCATTCATAAGAAAATTGAAAATATGTAACACAGGAGAAAGTCGTATGACTTCTCAAAGAAGGTTACAAAACAGCTGCCTTATTTTCTGAAACTTTAATTCCCATAACACATATATTACCTAAGGCCAGATTGCACAGCTTTTGTCAGCATTTGTAATGTATTCCTGTGAATACAGCAGAAAAAACTTGATTCAAGGCCTTCTCCTCCTAGTTTGGAGTGCTAACTATCCAGGGAAGTGGGAAGTCTTTTCAGATATTGTTGTTAGATAAGCAAGAGAAAAATATGGTCTAAATGTCATACATCCTTTTACAGAACTTCATATGCAGTCTGTCATGAAAATTGTCTTTCTGACATCAAGACAAAGTGAGCCACATCAGTTTCAATTCTTGGAAGAATCAACTCCAATCATTATTATTCTTTTAGCAGGAATTTAGCTTCTAACTTGCATTAAGGCCACAGAGCAATACTGGTTTTTTAAGCCACATCAGAAACAACCTATAGCTCCCATGCTCTTCTAAAAGCACACAAGCTATGATGGGATTATGGTATCAGTTTTCCAGTTTATTGAATGTACCTCAAACACTCTTCAGTATAGTTCTGCAGTATTAAATGACACACTCAAGAGACACCCTCTGCATACCTTCTCTTTGTAACAAATTATTTCAGTGCTCTGGACTTTTTTTTTGAACTTTCAACCAAAATTGAAATGGTTAACAAATAAAATGCTTTGACTTTAAAGTCTCAGCTGCTTTTTGTAAAAATTGAAGTCTCAATTAAATGTAAGTCTAAGATTTCCCAGATCCATCTAAATCCTTAGTCCATATTCCTCAATATTAACTGAAAATGCACAAGGTGTGAGACTGTCTTCCTGTTACCATGACTGTAAAATACAGCCATCCAGAAAGACTGGCCAGTTGTTCTGAAAAGGACTGATTCCCCTTAGAACTGTCTAAAGATTTGCTGACTGACTTATGACAGTTATGATTGGAACAGATTGTACCTAGAAGCTTAATTAAAACTTTTCACTTCATTATTTACTACTTGTAAGAATAGACTTTTTTTTCGTTGTTGTTTTAGTTCATTAAGAATCATTAGTATCTATACAGGTCCAGCAGCCTCCAATGAAAACAGTGCTGGGCCACATAGACAAATAATTCAACTACCTGCTATGCAAGGATTTTGAAAGGTTATCATCTATCCCTTACCCCAAGAACCCGGCAACCACAGGGAGTGGTTTCACTTTCCATACTTTTAAGATTTGATCACAAAGCCCAATTCCCTGAGTTCACAGAATGGGTCAGGTTGGAAGGTACCACAGTGGGTTGTCTGGTCCAAGCTCCCTGTTCGAACAGGGTCATCCTAGAGCACATGGCACAGGATTGCATCCAGATGTTTCTTGAATATCCCAAGTGAGGACTGCCTCTCTGGACAATCGGTTCCAGTGCACTGTCACCTGTACAGTAAAGAAGTTCTTCCTCATATTCAGATGGAACATCCTGTGCATCAGTTTCTGTCCATTGCCACTTGTCCTATAACTTGGCACCACTGAAAAGAGCCTGGCTCCATCCCCTTGACACCCTCCCTTCAGACACTTATAGATATTGATGAGGTCCCCTCTCAGTTGTCTCGAGGCTGAACAGGCCCTGCTCCCTCAGCTGTTCCTCGTAAGAGAGATGCTCCAGTCCCTGGATCAACTTCGTAGCTCTAAGGAGTTCACTCCTACGCTGCTATAGCTGATGTCAAAATCATCCAGGTCAAGGTCCCAACCTGTCAAGGGACTTTACTGCGGTCTTTAAAAAAAACCTCTAAAAAGCTGCAACTTCAGGGATCCATACGCTTCTCGAGGTCAAACCTTGAAACCGTCCCGTTCTACCCTCGCACAGCGGGGGACGCAGAACAAGGGGCTCAGCTCCTCTCAGCAATAACCACCCCCGCTCACAACTTTGCGAGGAAACACGCGAAGTCGGAAAAGACGGAAGAGAGGGGGTGGCCCGGAGAGGAGGCGGGCTCGGAGCCGAGCCCCGCCCGCGCCCCTCCCTCCCGGCGCTGGCCTGCCCAGCCGGCGGGACGGCTGCTGCCAGCAGGACCTCACCGCCGGGTGAGTATCGCCCTCGGCCCCCAGCACCGCGGGGCTGGAGGGGGGAACGGGAGAGGGACCCGCGTCCCGCAGCCGGGCGGGGAGGGGGAAGCAGGTGACCGGGGGTCGGGGGAGGCGGGGACTGGCCCAGGGAGGGAGGAAGAGGAGGAGATTGCGCAGGCAGGACCCTCGGCCTGGGCTGGTCTGTCAGCCGGGGTACCCTCTGCGGTGCGGGGACGGGCTGGAAACGCGGCTCCAGGGTCTCATTGCGGGCCGTGTTCCCGCCTGAGTTGAGCGGCTGATGGCGGGCTGGAGAGCCCTGCAGCTGCGGCGGGGAGAGGAGGGGAGGAGGTGCCTCTGTGCTCGGGAGGCAGCTGCGGTCAGGGGAAGGAGAGAGAGACAGACAGAGCCTACTGTTCTGAGAGGAGATGTGACTGGAGTCAATTAACGCGCTTGAATTTTTCATGAAGTGACTGACCTTCAAGGTTTTATGGATCATCGTAATTGTTTAAAGAGCATCGCTGCGCGCCGCTGGGCGTAGGGGGAAGCTTGTCTTTCCTTGGAGGATGAGTTACTGTCACTTGGGGGAAAGAAGCGCAGGATAAGTGGATGGAGCAGCCCCTCGCTTGTGTTAAAAAGTAGAAAGATATTCCTCCTACGTTGCCTCGCAAGGTTTATTTAGATAGACCCTGTGTCGATGTTATTTTTAGTACAAGTAGGTGGCCCAAATGAGTGTTACTGGAAGTCAGTGAGATCAAGGTCATGTCTGTGCTGCAGAACTGCTGGCTCGTAATGAGTCACAGGAGAATATCATGTTGTAATCAATTGCTTTTAAAAACTGTGATCTTCGGCAACGTTACGGCTGCCTTAAGATACCCCCTATGGTAAATATTTTTATGTAGTGGTGAATGTCTGTATACTCCAGAAATTTATATACTTTATGGTGACATATTTATAACAGTATGTAATACTCAAGAGAAATTGATAGAATAGGCTTCAAATCAACCAGATAAATTGCTTACATGTTATCTCTCATACTACCTGACACTAATAGAATATTAAAATGTCTTAAGAATACAGACAGTGGCATGGCATTGCTTTATTGCTGTCTGCCTTTCTGTTTTGCTGTTATTTTTACCTTCTCAGAGGGGTTGATACCTTAGTACAGTGTAAAGTTCCTTTGAAAAAGGTGTTTTTCACGTAATGAAAGTGGGTAAGAGAAAGGTCATAACATGCTGGATCCAATGATCATTTAATTCTGTATTTCCATGTATTGCAGCAGTTGAGTCAGTATGTTTCCATGTAGTCTCTAATTTGCCTTCTTCCTTGTGTTGCAGTGTTCTGTTTTAAAACAGTCCCCGATTTCATCATTTCCATCTTTGTGTTTTGGCAGCTCCATTCATGTGCCCTTATTCCAGAGTCCCATGTCTAAGTGGTATTTTCATATGTTGTGTAATCTCTTTTGCAGTTGGGGACCTGTATCTCAGAGCCACAGAGGCTTTTTTTTTTTCTTTAGTGTCCCCACAGAGGTCAGAACACAATTTGTCCTGTTTTGCCCCCTTTCCCTTCCTGGACAATGCAACCTCAATGCCTTGGTGTTCTAGGTTAGCCCATTCTATACCCCACCGGAGTGATAATAGAAGTCATTTTGAGCTGTTAAGACTTGACCTTAAAATTGTCAAAACCCAAAGAAAGTATTAGAAAGTATTTCTGGTGTAAAGTTGTTGCCAACTTCTTAACTACGCCTGAATGCTTTCAAAGTGGAACAGTTGGATTTCTTGAAGCGTCACGAGGGGGAAGCTTTTCAGGGCTTCTAACAAAATAGTACCGCTTCCAAAGGAATTGTTTATGTATGATGGAAAAAGATTAAATCTGGGATGTGTGGTCTAAAGAGAGCAGTTTAGAGTTACTAGCCATCTCTGTGCACAAAGAAATGGAGTTACTGAAGTTTAAAGTTATTAGCCGTTTCTGTGCCCTCTTCCCCTGCTCAGCTGTGTTTACTGTCTACTTCTGTGTATCCTGTGAGCAAGGTATCTAAATTTTGACCCATTTAGCTGTTAGCAATCTTTTGCAGGAGGAAGAAGAACAACCAAAATGGAACAGTGAGCTGCGTTCTTCGTCTGTGCTCAGGCAGTAATTGTGCTTCTGCCAGCTTGAGTGATGGGGCTCACACTGCCTTACACTTTGTACAGGGAATGCTGCTGAAAGGAAGTCAGTACTTTGTAGTCTAGTGATAAATCCTTTAACCTTTACTTCCAACTGCCTGGCAGATATTCTAATATGAGAACTGATAGTGGTAACCCAGCATTTCCTTCTATCCCTGTATGCAGAGGAGTGCTGCTGTTCCAGACTGGGGTGCATACTGGGGAATATGGCAGAGGAGGAGGACAGAGATGTTCTTCCTTCAGTGTGCTGTGGTTGTTTCTACTTGGCTTGGCTATTATAAGAAGCTCCCTAACAGGGAGTGGAGGCATGCCTTAACATGTCTTTTCTCAAATTGTCAACTGCCTATTTTGCTGTAGACTTTGAAGTTTCTTTGAGTTTCTGGAAAATTGGTGGTGGTTAACAGTGGGGGAGTGATTTGGCTCACCCTTGAAGCAGCTCAAATATCTGTATATTAGGTTGTTTCTCAATCCCTGGGTCACTCAGGATTACATATCTCTGTCATGTCTGGAGGATATCTTTGGTCCTCAAAACTCATTTCCATCTTGCTCATGTCTGTGTCCTATATTTCCTCCTAACTCTTACTGTCCTGGACAGCTGTGACTCCAAAGGGCCTAGTAGAGACTGTGGACAGCCATCATCTTGGTGATCAGAGAATAGCCAGAGGTTTTGGTTCTCACTCTACTTTGTCAACTTTATCATATACAGGTTGACTGAAAAAAAGGAAGGAGTGGAAAGAGTTGGCGGGGTGTGGAGAGGGGGAAGGGGAATTGTGTGTTGTTGGGTGGGGTTTTGGTTGGTTGGTTTAGGGGTTTTTGTGCTTTTTAAGAACAAGGTACTGGTCAGTTTGAAATTGAATGTGGGTGAAACAAGCCTCAGATATGGTCAGTAGCAGGGCACTGTGCTGATGCTGCTGGAGATTCTCATAATTTAGAAGCACTGTTGGTGGAAATAAATGAAATTTCACTTAGTTTTGTGGAGACCATCATATGAATTTATTTGTAAAATAAACTGAAAGAAAATTACTGTAATAAAGTGGAATTAACACTTTATGTGCTCAAACAGTTTATTCTCTGGTTTTGGTTTTGGAAATGTCTGATGATTCTTTGTTTTGATTTATAGGTTGAAGACTTTGGGCGACAAATCAAGAGATGCAAAAAAAAGGCAGAGGTACTTCATAATGTCTTAATGTATAGCATTGATCTAGGATGCTCTTGTTAAAGAAAAATTTGAAATGGCTCATATATATGAGCCAGTTACAAGAACATTTGCATGTAATTTTACAAAATACTGTTCTGACAACAGAAAAGCTTAGCTCTACTATTCAGCAAATGCTTTGCTTCATAGAACATTCATTGATAGGCCTAAATAATTTCCAGTGGCTGTTGGTCATTTAAATTAAACGAATATTCAGTGTTATTGTAGTACTAAATAGAAGCTTCAGGTTGTACTACACTGAAATGTAATTGATTACAATCTTTGTGAATTTAATGTATTAAAATTATAATTCAGGGGGGTTTCAACTGTAAAACAGAAATAGGAGCCTTTTTATTGTGGAAAATATATTTGTGATTACTTCAATTATCTGTTTCAAGAAGTTTTGAGATTTGTGGTGGTTTGTGGTTTTGTTTGTTTTGTTGTTTGTTTTTTAATCGCCTGCATTTTAGTACATTGCTCATTCTTTCAACCTGTATAAGCTATAAGGAAAGACTAGTTTATGTCTGTAAATGACATCTGTGAGTGTTGCTTCTTCAAATAAGCTCAGATATGCTTTTTTAAAGTATCTTCTTACTAAAACACAGTATGTAGACACAAATTAATTTAAAAACAAACCCTGCTCTAAAAATAAAGTGTCTGAAATAAACTGTCTTAAGTTCTGAACCTTGATGTTTTGGATATAAAGTTTTTTAAGAGAAGGCTGGCTGTATTGACAAGGCACAGAGACTAAACTAAGAATGGGTAAAGGCTTGAATGAAACTATTTTAGGCAACTGCCTTCTCTGCATGTTTCCAGTCCATAATATGTTGGTTCTTCTAATGTATCGTCAGAAACAGGGGAATTCCAGGGTGACTTCAGCTGTCCTAAAGTTCTGGGACAAACATAGCTTACCTTGACTTGTAAGGATGGCTGAGGGCATACGGGTGAGGAGCAGAGAAGAGACCAGTAAGGGTGGTGTCGCAGTGGAAGTTTTTCACTGACCATCTGATCAGGGAGAGAATTATGTCTTCTCTAAACAACTCGAGGAATTCTCTGTGTCATTAAAACCCCATTCTTATAAGGGCCTTTAGCTTCCACCTGCTGAAAAGACAACACATCAGTATGCATTCAAGAAGTGTTCTGGAGGGTGTAAATTGACATTTACAAGAGATATCGAGGGCAAGAAGAAGAGCTGCTAGCCCTGCATTGATAATAAAAGGCTGAACAAAGAAAACATGGGATTGTTGATGAATGGAATGAATGGCAGCAAATGTAGATGTTGTTGAGGTATTTAATGCTTTTATTGCTTCAGTTCCTTGTGCTTAGTGAAAGGGGGAAAACTGACCAGTAGTGAATGAAGATAAATTGGGTGAACTCAATCCATAAAAGGCCGTAGGAATGTATATGCCAAGAGGTACTTCATGAAATTTTAAGAGGTTCAAATCCAGTGTTTCACTGGAAAGGTAGTATCCTCCACAATACAGACTGGGGCTGACAGACCAGCTGGGAAGTAGCTTTGCTGAAAAGACCCTGGGGGCCTTGACAGACAACAGGCTGAATGTGAGCCTGTGAAATTTCTGTCCTCAGAGGTTTTCAAGTTGCAACTGAACAGAGACCTGAGGAAGTTGCTCTGAGTTCCTAGCTGGTCCTGGTTTTAACAGGAGGTTGCAACAGAAACTGCCTGAGGTCCCTTTCCACCTCACTGATTCTGCCACTTTTCCCTTGACTTAAGGAAAAAGGGTTTCCTTTGTGGTGTTTTTCCATTCAAATTGTGCGGATGACAGTGCAAAACAGTTTATTCTGGTCATCTTCCAGGAGACAAATTTTGGATGATATCAAAATCTTCACATCCCTTAAAATGCTGCATTGTTAATTTTCTGTAACTTATAACTTAGATGGGCTCCTCAATTCAGGAGGGACATTGAGGTGCTGGAATAAGTCCAGAGAAGGGCAATGAAGCTGGTGAAGGGTCTGGAGCACAAGTCTGGAAGAGCAGCTGAGGGAGCTGGGGTTGTTTAGCCTAGAAAAAAGGAGGCTCAGAGGGGACCTTATCACTCTCCACAACTACCTGAAAGGAGGTTGTAGCCAGATGGGATCAGCCTCTTCTCCCAGGAAACTAGCAACAGGATGAGAGAGCATAATCTTAAGTTGCACTAGGGAAGGTTTGGACATGAAAAGGAATTTCTTCATGGAAAGGTTGATTAGTTAATGGGATAGGCTGCCCAGGGAGGTGGTGGACTCACCATCTCTGCAGGTGTTTAAAGAAAGACTGGACGTGGTGCTCAGTGCCGTGGTCTAGTTGACAAGGTGCCGTTAGGTCATAGATTGGACTCTGTGATCTCAGAGGTCTTTTGCAACCTAATTGGTTACGTGATTCTGTTATAATAAGTTTTCTCTATATTTCAAGTTGTTACTAATGGAAATGTACACATCCAATATGAAATCATTAGAGCATTAAATTGGCAAAGATTCTTTAGCTTAGTGTTTCTTTTTGATGCAGAATATATTAAGTGCAACATCTCTTTTGAGGGGCATAAAGAACTTGTGTAGTAGTCCTATTTTCAGGATGTCCCTGTGCCTTGTTTTAAGTTAAAACAATGTCCTTCTCGTCTCTTTCTTAACTGTACTAAGAAATTATTTCATAAAAATTGTTTTCAATGGACATAGTCAAAAAGAAGAAAGAATGGGCTGTCATAAAATAACAAAAGAAAAAAAAGCAATCCTAGCTTTGAAATATTCTTGTAAGATCCACTGTGTAATGAATCTTAAACCAGAGTTGGCAAAATGTTTGTGAAACTGAACAGTAGGGAACATTTCTGCTCAGCATCTGTCAAGTGCAGGTGTGTGTGCACTCATTTTTTATAATAGACTTCTATTCTTTAAAAATTTTGTATGTTTACAATTTGTTTTATAGAACTATTCAGTGTTTGCCAGAGTTTTCTGCTGGACTGGAATTACTCAGCAGGTATGACCTTCCTGTTCTTTCTTAGTGTCTACTTCCTACAGTTTCAGAAATAACTTCATTAGATTAAGATAATTAGAAGAAAACCAAAGTGTTGCTAATAGGTTTTTGAATATTCTGCAGTTAGGAGTGTGAGAGTGGTTACCAAATGACAACTATGTTTAAAGCTTGCCCCATACTCGTGCTGTCATGCTAATGCAGCAGAGGTTCTGGAGGAAAAGCCACGTTTGAGAGATGACTTTAGTTCATGTTCTAATGCACAGATATGAAGACCAGCACTGAGTCCTAGTCGGTGGTTTCGATTTGATGTTCCATAACTTAGATGTATTTGATATGATTTCCCTCTGTAACAACAGAGACAATATGCCTGTCATTGCCTTGAAAAGACAGCATGTTCCATATGTATTTAATTACATCTTTTCTGAATAACAGCAGCTATCTCCATTATAAGTTTTCTTTATATCTTAAAAAAATCTATTCTCTTTTTTTTGTGGGGGGGGGCAGTGTATGTGTGATTACAATATTGTTTTGTGTTTTTTTTTCATTTTCTTAATGAAATTGGGTTCCAAGTAATGCTTAAGGCAGTGTATAGTCTTGATATTGCTGGGTCCATTTCACTTTTAATGTAAACTAGCAAGTTAAAAAACATGAATCACTTTTTCTTTAAAAGATATTATTTCTACTGTATGTTTGTCTTGGTAGAACAGTAAATACTGAAAAGAATTGTACAGCTTTTTAAGCTGCAATTTCTGGTAGTGCCTGTAAATATAAGCACAGTAATATCTATAAAATCTTCCTCTGTAAGGGGAGCACAGTAAGAATAGTAATTTATTTTCTCTTCAGATATGAAGATGCATGGGCTGCCCTTCACAAAGGAGCCAAAGATTGTGCAAAAGCTGGAGAGGTGAGAAAAAATAACAATGCCATACTTGAAATATTTTAAAATGTGTAAATAATTTTAAACTAAAATTTTTGGTACCAGCATACAGGGTTAACCCTGATCTCTAGATAAGTACCCACACAACCTTGTTCACTCACACAGTAATGTAAACAAGAGTGTAATGCAAACATGAAATAATGTGATGCAATGTAAACAGTTGCAAAAATGATGTTGCATGTTACTGCTATAGCTCTTTAAAAGCAGTGGGGGGACTGGGAAAGTATAGAATATATTTGAAGTTGAGACATGTTGATGGTTACTATCAGGGTAGGGCTGTTGCACTGATAATGTTTGCTGCCCACTCCTAGCGGACAAGAAATGGCAAGATTTGATTGTCTGACTGAAAAGATTAGGGAAGTGTCTGCTTTCTCCTAATTTTGTTCAGTGTTCCTGCCCTGCAAGCACAGTGACAAGTTGTGCGGTTTATTTGTGGAATAAGGGAAAGGAAACTTCCAGTGAGTGTTACCAATGCATTACTCTGCACCAGACTTTCCATTTTGAGCCATGTTTAAGGGGCAGGCAGTGTAGGCTGAGCAGGACTGAGCTGTAGGGTTCTCTGTCCTGGCTGAAACCTTCACTTTGGCCGGGTGCATCCTCCCTGGCTCTTCTGTTTTGTTTACGAGACTTCTGTGTATCTTAGTCCGATGGAAAAATAACTCCCTGTGTATTTACGGTAATAAGGAAGATATCTTGTGCTCTTTCTCTTGCCTAATAGTATGGCCCACCTTTTCCACAAGTTCCAGTGAAAACTTCCAGTTACTGGAGATGAAGTTCTCTCTGTCAGTTCTGCATGGTTTACTGCTCACAAGGATCTTTTGTAGATCTCTTAAGTGACTTGATCACAATTTTATAATACTTGCTGCTTGTTTAGTTTGCTTTAAAAATTGTAGTTCTGAAAACGATGTGAGGTTTCATATGTACTAAACCAATATAACCTTAATCTCACATGTTATAGCTGCTTGGGAAAATGAGAATGAAAAGCTTCCAAAAAGACTGAAATTTGCAATGAAATTCAGTTATTCGCTTTTGGGACAATCATATATATATATATATATATATATTGCTTGTGGGGTTTTGTTTCTTTCTTTTTATATAAAAGTAGAAAATAAAAATTGTGTAAGCACACAAGGTTGACTGTACTGTATAACACCTAAAGATCCACTTGTCCAGTATCCCATTTCTTGTACTGGCCAATAGCAGATAAACTACTCTGCTGTCTTATTTATAAATGTTGAATAGAGAAAGGAAAGTGACAATTTCAAGCTTTAATTGCAGCCTACAGTCTTACCATGTGAAATGGTTGATGTTAACTATCAGTTCCACGTACAAAATTGTTCTAAAGGTACTGCTTTTAGACGACTGTAGTTTAACCTGCATTGTTATCTCTGGGCTGAAATGTTTGTCTGGTGTTTGACCCCATCTCATGGTGGCCTGTTTGGGTTTTTTCTTTGTTTGCTTTACTGTTTAACTGATATAAATCCTACCTCATTCTCAAAAATAGACTTAGCTTTATTTCAATAAGGATGTTGGTATTCTGAGGTGTTCCATTACTTGCTGGGCTTTGGAATAAGTTTTCAAAACTTTTCTAGTAAAACAGGATGTCTTTTTGACAGGGATAGGTAGCTAGAGGAATTTGGAAATGGGAGGTGTTATTCTTTTAATAGAATCAGTCTGAAGTGGGTAGAATTATAAATCTGAGCACTCATTTGCTCATTGCTTAGATTTTTTCAGTTTCTGCAGCTACATACTATAAAAACTGAGGAATTCAGAATGCAGATACAGGCACAAGCTGCAGTTGTGTGCAAGAGGAAGGATGGATAATGGAATTAAGAGCAGGGAAACGATAATTGAATCATCTCAATTATATATAAAGGAAACATTTGTTATGTAAGATCTCTTGATCTTGTTGTTTTTCATAGAATATGACCCATATAAGTACATTATACTATTATATAATAAAATGAAGATGCATTAATTCTAAAAATAAGCCAAGATGCTCATAAATACATAAATTTGCAAGTAAATTAAATACCTGTTTGTTTCAGCTGGTCGATAGTGAAGTTGTGATGCTTTCTGCACACTGGGAGAAGAAAAGAAACAGTCTGCTGGAACTACAGGATCAGCTCCAACAAATACCTGGGTTTTTAGCAGATCTGGAATGCCTCACAGCAAACCTAGGTAAGGTTTTATAGATATAATAAGCATTCAGGTCAGTACAGAGGATTAGACTGAAGTTCAGCTGTTGTGAATGTTGTGATTATAAAATTTAATTTTGCTTTCCAAATACATCCTTTCTATTGTAAAACAGTAGTTCATATACTGTTGGAGATTTTTGGGTTTTTTTTAAAGATCAACAGTTGCTCTGTCAGCAGTTAAAATTTTGTATGTGTTGTTATTTGGAAAATGAAATTGTGATAACTGCATATCTTGTATGAACAGCAGAAAAATACTATTCTTGAAGTCTTATGAAATTTTTAAGATTTGTAAGTAGTGTGAACATTCGTATATAAGTTGCTTCTCTGTGATTGAGTCTATGTCATTTTATATAATAATGTTTTAACTCATCATTTGGGTGGGACAGGGGAGAAATTTACCTGGCTAGGGACACTTTCAAGGCAGAAACCTTTGGTTTTGAGTAATTGTTGGTTCCAAGGCTGGCTTCCATAGTTTGCATTAATGTGCAGGGTTAAGGTATTCTGAACTGATGCCCAGCTTTTTTTGTGGGTGAAACTAGCAATGTTACACATTAAGATTACCAAATACTTTATATTTGTTAGACGGGTTTCAATTTTTATAACTTTACCAAATGCTAACCTGTTGATTTAATTTAAAAGATGATAAGTGCTTTAGTGGACTACTTCTGGAAACCTCTCATACAAAGCAGTTGATACACTGTTCAGAATTAAAATAGGAAAAAAGTATTCTGACCTCTTACCCTCTGAAAATCTCCAATATTGCTGAGTGAGCCTTGGAATGGGAGTGCAGCATTTGACAAGTAGCAAGCCTGTCTTTCCACAGTAAGCCTCCTGCTGGCTCAATGGAAATCTATACAAGGTGCATGAAATTAAAGTTTCGAAAAACTGCCGTCTGCACATGATTTTAGTAGCTAAGTTCCCCAGGGACTCAGCCTGCATTCCTCTTTCTTACAGCAGCTGGGAAGGAGGCAGAAATTCCTCATGTAATTGCAGCTCTTGTTTTTTTGTGGGGTGGGCTGGATTGATGTGCTGACATCTGATGTGAAGAAAAGGGGGGTTCATATCTGTCTTCAAAGCCTAATTTCTCATTCTCCTATGGTCAGTGGACATGCAAAAATCAACTTTTGTTCCTAGGTAGACTGGTAATAACTTTGCTATTTATTTCTGAACCAAAGAATGTATTTCATTTTTTATTACCATTTTCTTATACCACCTTATTTAATAAAGCTTTGTCATGTGTGCTAAGCCTTTAATATTGGCTTTTGAAAAAAAATTTTCTAAGGAAATATAAATTCAAATAATGATTTATTAAAATATTGGGTTTAATATCATCATGCACAAAGTGATGCAGCCCACTGGTAGACCAAAGATAAACAATATATTAAAAACCTAATGGAATTTTCTTCATAGTTCATAACAGCAAATGCTATAAATCCTGATGAATTGGGGTTACTTTCCAATTCCTAATGTAGTTTTATGAACCAGAATTAATCTCACTGATTGTAGAATAACTTGGAGAAGGTTTGTCTGTAGAATATTTTTGATTCTGCACAAGTAGGATTTAAGGAAGCATTAAGTGGCCTGTTTGGGGAAGCTGATGAATTTTAAAGTATACTGCTAAGATTGTGAGATGTGAACCAAATCTTCTAGCTTCACCTTGTGTGTCAGATTTCAAGTAGTTTATCTAGAGTTATTTATTAGTTCCTCTTAACGACTGAGTTTTTTGGAATTTTTTTTAATGGTAAGTTTTAGGGAGTCTATTTGAAGAGGTAGGTATAATTTATGGCAAATTCAACATCTACCCTTCTAGAAGGGATTTAACAGAAATTTTCTATGATATTCTGCTCACTGTTTTTAGTTTTTATAACTCTGAACTATCTGCTTCTTAGAAATATAAACTGTATTCAATTTTCCAAGAGATGACTATTACTCTGACTGTGAATTTTAAATATAAGTGAAACATTCTGTAAAAAAAATAGGAAAATAGAATTACAAAGTGCTGTGTCCTGGGTTGTGCATTCAAGATTTAATTTGGCTAGTCTTCATCATTTGAACATGGTTCTGACTTGTAATATGATGTGCTTCTAATAAATCTATTAATACTTTCATTTTGAAAGTAAATAGTGGACCCTGGCTGCTTTTGGTAAAAGAAATTTCGAATAATGGAAATAAACCTTTTTACTGACCTATTAAGGCTGGTATGAGTCACGTACAGATTCCTCAGCTTTTGCTCTGTATTACAACACACATTTTCATTAGCAGTTTTATAAAGTCCTTTAACTTAGGTGTTCATGTTATTAGTCATCCCTCACTTGAAATAAAAAGTCTGTGTCTTCATTTGATAAATTTATTGTATTATGCAATGTCTTGTAACTGCCACTGAGAACTTTGAAGAAAAAATTACTCTCACGTAAAAGTGAAAAGGACAGTTATTGTCCTTTCAAAGTTCGAAATTGGAATCATCACTTAAGCTGGTTTTTGTTTGAGATGTTGTAGAAAATATCTGCTTGTTGATATCTGTCATACTTGTCTTAATATGAAATATGCTTCATGTTTGAGCCGTGGCATTTTGCTCAGACATCTGTTTTGATTTCAGTAAATCAATACACACAAATCTTGATCCAAATCCAATTTTCTCTCCCCTCTCTCTTTTTTTTTTAAGATCAAGTGTTAAGCATTAACTTGATACTGGTTTCAGAAAGGCTGTTCATGTACATAAGTGACAGATCCAACATAGGTTGAAAATACTTAGGCTGGGACTGGGAATAAAATAAGGCTGGGGATATAGTCAGAGATAAAAGCCATTGCCTCCTAATCTTTAATATTTTTTTCTGAAGTATGAGTTAGGTGGATGTGAAAATCCATTAGGGCAACAGAACTTTTTGCACTGTTTAGGGGGGGTATCATTGTTTATATCCTCAGCAGAAAGTAATGCTTTATTTTCAGATTGTGTATCAAGTTTGAAAGTTGCCATTTTCTAGCTTTGCAAAATTCAATCCAATTTATTCAGAATTTGCATTTTTAAAGAAATTAATGGCCATGCTCACTTTCTTTAAGGTGTGGGATAATTAATGACTTCTTAATGGCTTCTTCAGACATTAAGGAAATATACTAAAGCTGAACTAAAAGGTCACAGTAATTATAGTATCTCTTTCATTGAATGCAGTATTTTGGTTTTGGTAACATTGGGGCTACTTTAAGAATGTAATACCCCATATTTTGGGTATTGTTTTGCACCAAAAAAAAGGGTGTGTTTTAGTGAAATATATATTTTTTTTAATTTCTTGATAAAAATGGCAAAGATTTTTCCAGTTTGAAAAGTGCAGTATACTTCCAGCAACATCTTGTATTTTAAGGTTATAGAATTTTATTTTTGTTCATTTCATCAGTTTGTAGACTACCTCTGCAGCAGTACTTTTAGGAGGAAAAGGTGTAGTGAATAATAGCCCGTAGATTAGTCTCTTTCAGGAAGACATGAGTGTCTTTGGGGAAGACAAGTCATTAGTTTACTATTACCTATTTATTAATTGTGGTTTATGTAGGGATTTAGATATTAGCAGGTATTGGTTGAGTAAAAGTGAATTTAAGACTAGACAATTTATTAATCAAGATTTTTCATAGAGCTGGTATTTGAACTTCTGATTTGTGTTTGGTTACTTAAATGACAGTTTCCTTTTAGTTTAGCATTTAGCAGCAGATAACTCTTGAAAAAGAGATGGATAAAGGTTTTGTGATGCAGAAATTTAGAATATATTTCATTAGTAGACTCCAGTTTTTAGTGATTTCTTTATGATTTTAAAATTATTTTGAAAGTTGGGAGAGCTGTGAAAACTTTCACTGAACATGAGCAACGATTTGCAGTTGGGAAAATGTCTAAAGAAAATAATAATTTATTATTAATTAAAACAGTCTTTCTATCTAGTTCTTTAAAAACTGCTGTTACTCTTCTTGCTTACATGAGTTGCATTGCCTGAAATAAAACTGTGTTTATCTTTTACTGAGAAAGGGAAAATATTGGGAAGATATATGTAAAACCAGGCAATTTGAATAATACAGTCTAAAGATACCTGTGTTCAACAGGGTGTTTTTCATAAGCTCCAGGGCACAACACTTCAGCAGAGAGGGTTATTGTGTTAGGTAGAGATATATATGTATAAAAGACATACAGTTTGGTGCTGTAAACTTGGAAGTGTCTGGGGATTGAATACAGAAGGAAAAGTTTCTAGTGGACTTGTTATGTAGTTTCTGTGAAGAAACTGCTTTAACTTCATGTAAATGGTATGATATTAGCTGGGTTTAAGATATTTTCTTTAAAAAAAGATGAAAATTGAGCACTAGTAGAACTGTACTTATGTAAAGTTTTTTCTTTTCTTTTTTTTTTTTTTTAGTGAATGGAGCTCTTCCTGTTTATGTATGTCTTTCACTGCCTTCACTGTCCCTGAATGGCCTAGAGATAGAGAATATCTTTGATGTAATTGCTTCCATCCATTCTGTTTTCTGTTTTTTTACCTTTTATTCAGAAAATGAATGAACTTTATAGAAATGTCTTTAATACTCCTTTGTGGTTTCTGTTGTTTCAGTGGCTGGGAGAGTGCAGGAAAGTGACACTTAAAGTTAGCGTAGGAAAAATGGAAAACTAGTATTTTCTGATATACAGCTGTGATTTAGCTTTTCTAACAATTTTTGTACTCGCACAAAACTACGGGTAACATAGGTTTCAATTTAAAAAATTATGTGGTAAATTTAAATTAGGTAAATTAATTGAAATAAAGTGTTTTCAGGTAAAAAAATTTATTTTGTGGTTGTTGAGTTCTAAGTAAATACTTTAATACCTGCTTATCTGGTAAACTAAGAAAAACAGTGTATGATGATGGAAGATAATTCAATCTAATGTCATCTGATCAAACATTAACATACTTAAAAAAAATTTAAACTAAGAACTAAAACTTCAAATAGTGTTGTTATACCTGTGGTAGTGTAAGATATATAGGCCAAACTGATATAACTGGGAAAATGTGACCTAAAGTTATTTTTGAGCTATCTAATACAAATTATGATTTCTACCAAGTGTGGCATATTTACTATACAAGAAAATTCTTAATCTAAAGGTAGACTGTATTCTTTAAATCTTAAAAAAATTTAAAGGAGATGTTTTTCACCTTCATAGCAATGCCAGTTTAGAGTGGGATGGTGATTGTTGCCTGATGCCTTGGTTGTGGGATTTCTTTGAGCTGAACAAGAAGTAGTAATCTTGCAGATGTTCTTTAGAACATAAACTGGCTTCCTGGGCCATATTTGTTCTAAGTGCCATGTGAACTGTAAACTGGAAAGGAATTTCTAGATTTCATATTTTTGCTAAATAACATCTTTAAATTATGAGCTTATTATCTGTGAATATAGATAAGAGCTGATCATAGACTTATGGCTTAAGTTTCAAATTGATTAAATACATAGTTTTGTTTGGAATCCTCTTTGTCTGCATAGTGCATATATTCTCATTTGGATAAGAGAGAGGTTAATTCACAACTGTAGCTGGTGCTATTGCAATGGAGCTAGTTTTCAGCTTTTTTTTGTGAAAATTAAGTTTTCTTTCACTTCAGAAAGAAAACTTCTGAAACCAGTGTTGCAGTAAAGCAGGATTGTGGCCTCCTGAGGAGTTCATTCCTGTTCTTCAGGAGCACAGTGTTTTCTGCAATTCCCACTAGAGGCCGCTCAAATGCTAGTGCTAGGAATCAGTTGCTCTCTAGAATTCACTTCATTCTTTTTTTTTTTTCCTGTTCTTTGTTGTAGTCTTTTAATATTATTTCAATAGCTAATACAGCAAAGCAGGTGGGGGATGGTATCTGGAAAAAAACAGAGGTTGATAAGTACCTTACTAAATTATCTTCAGCCCTGCTGTGTTTGTGAATTTTGCGAATTAATAAGCAAGCAATCATTCTGAAAAGCAAGTTAGCATAATACAGACGTTTGGATTTTAATGCACTCAAGAAAGTCCTTTTCTTAAGCAAAAAGGGACTACCAATCATAATTGCAATAAATGATATTACTCTTTGAATACATCTGGATTTTGTGAGAGAAAATTGAGTATGTGGTAAACAACAGATTTCCACATCACAATATGTAGAACTGAAAACATTTTTTTTCCTCAGAATTGTACCTGCATTAATTGTCAACTACCTATTTTTTTTTTTTTGCCATCTCCCTCTCCCCTCAGAGATCTGTATACAGATAAATAATTCAAGGAAATATTAGCTGATTATATAATCCGTGTTTCCCTTTCTGACTGTTGTGGAGCTTACTTGTTAGGGACTAAAAAAATCGTTAAGTAATTGAAGCTGAACATATGAATATGCATCCTAGGAAATTTGTTTGAGGTCTTAACTTTTACTTTTCTAGGGCGAACACAAGGATGGCTATAACTGAGTAATGGCCAACAAAGTTGAAATTATGTATACTGCAAAACAGGCTCCAAGTAGAATGGTCAAACCAAAACTTAGGATTTAACTGATGCATCCAGCTTACTATTTCCTTCTTTTGAGCATCCAAAACACGTTAACTTTAAATCACTTTTTCCTACCTTGAACTTAATAATTATTCTCTTGCTTTTTGAAGGTTGCTTCTGTCTGTTACAGGCAAAGGTGAAACACAACCATTTGCCAAAACTCAGAGTTCCTTTACATTTTTTGCTTTCATTCCATCATCTGTGTAGTTCTTTGCATTAACAGTCAGGTTCATATCCTGCAGCAGATCAGTGTATATGTCTCTGGACCGCAAACTCCCTTCTATTCTTTGGCTGCTATTTTGTTTGTAAAAGCGTGATTTATCTTTCCTCCTGCAATTTGCCTTCCCTCTGGTTATAGGAAAAGTCCTGGCACAAGGATGAATAATAGTCCTGTAATTCACAGAGTTCCATCCCAGAGTGGCTCACTGGTTAGAGTTTGGGAAAATAGTTTTTCCACTTTGGGATCCTGAGGAGAGACATGGAGTTTAGCATTAATCACTGGCAGGGAGAGTGATCCTTTGATACAAGATTCACATGGGATAATTGAGGTCAGGAATTCTTTGGTCCCGATTTCTAGTCAAAACAGTGTGAGCTATGAGATGCTTTTGGAGGACTTTTCATAGGATTGATCTATTTTAAGTTGAGACTGAGCAACTGTGGTTAAAGAGGAGATTAAGACATTTTGCATGTTTTTAAGTGCATGTGTATGTAGAATAGCTAAATCTAGAGATTTACCTATCAGTAAAGGATCTGTCTTCAGAGACAAAAATGTGTTCTTTTATATTACCATGAGGTCATGTGAAAGTTAAAATTCTCCTAGTATGCTTTACTTTTGCTTCATTTGAATAAATTAAGATCAGTACTGGTTTTGGTCAGAGCTTTATACCTCACATTGGTACCATATAGGAAGGGCTAAACTGAGAGTCTACTCAAGAACTAAAATTATGAGTCCTGAATCTTCTTTTCCTGATGTACACACACAAGCCTCTGAGACCAAGATGCTGGGGCAAATAGAGTGGTTCAACATCTTACTACAAGGGAACCTCAGATCTACCTTAACATGTCTCTGCTGCCACTCTTCACTGTGTGATATGGGCTGAGATTTGTTTATCTTTCTGAGCCATTTATATATGTGTAATGATTACTATGTTAATTGTGTCCCTTTAGAAAATCCTATTTCTGTTCAGGTGAGTTGTCCATCTGTTGATACAATTTGATATTCATGTAAGTATTTCTTATAGCCCAGCTAGAGGCAAACTTTGAGGAAATGGAGAATCATCTGTTGTGTCTTGAGGACCTATGTGAACAGTGTGAGTTGGAAAGATACAAGTGTATGCAGACATTGCAGCTGGAAAACTACAAGAAAACAAAAAGGTAAATAAAACAATAATTACAAATTAGCATAAAAGATACACCTTCTGTAATTACCCCCCATATGTAATATAATCCCTTTTATTTTCATCTTTTTGAAAAACAATAATCTTTGACAGGATGTTGCAAATTTGTAGTAGATTCACTGAATGTCTAACTCTTAGTGATAAATAAAAAGTGTGTGTATTTGGAAAATTGTCACTACATAGTTGTTAAGATGAAGCCATGCTTATTATTTTCTGCAAAGAACTGGATTAAGAGCTGTCGTTAACAAGCACTGATATATGGTTGTTTCTTTTAATCCCTTGCCCTGTTTTTTTGATTTCTTCTTTTTCTCCCATGTACCTGTCAAATTAGGAACAGTATTTTCCTCAATCTTCCTTTCAGTTCTGTCATGTCCTATCCTATAAGTACCTTTCACTCTGTATGAAAGGTATTAATCTCCTACCATTCTCTTACTTGCAAAAATGGGGCATTAGTTCTTGGAATCAAAGTTCAACTTAGACCAAGCAGTATGTGTGAAAATTCAGAACTTCCAAATTATGAGCTTCATGTTTGCCTAAGAGATAAAGTAGCAAGAGAAAAATATTGAGCTTAAATAAACTGTTAACTGTCTTGATTTCGTTACTGACAATGCCAAAAATAACCCAAAGAAGAAGAAAAACAGTATTATGTCCATTATATAAATGAGGAAATGAGTTGAAGCAATTTGTCAAAGACGGTGTCTGACAACCTATGTTAGGGAGTGGTGGGTAGATGCAGATGTTGACTAACATGGGGATAACCAAGTTCCTTGATCTGTCCAGCCAGGTGACCTCCTGTTAGCCAGGGAAAGCACCTTGGCACCCTCTTTGCTTCTCTTGATTGTGGAAGCAAGTTTGATTGATGTGGTATGGTCAGAACAACTGGTTTGGTTTACAGTTCTAATGGGGCTGTGATGATCAAGGGCAGGACAGCTCCAGACAGCATTGGTCACATTGTGTACAGCTTATCTGCTTTCTTCTTTCTTGACCCTCCTTTTGCCATTCTTGTAGGTCGTCTGTTTTTGGGGGGGTTTTTTTGGTTGTTCTTTTTTTTTTTTTAATCTCTGTTTCTTTCCAAATAATCAATTCACCCCCGATTACTTTTTTCCCTCTTGGTCCTCATTTATTATCTAGGGAATTTTAGCCTTCTGTGGCATTACAGATCCAGTCACTGAAGTAGTGCTGGTGTTGCAAGTTCTGCATCCCAAAAAGTCTCAAAAACCTGAAAGTTCCCTCTTCAGTTTTCTGTGGAATTTGACTGTTTCTCACCCAACTCCCCTTTAAACATCTGCAAAATCCAGTCGTCCCTCATGGTGCTATTTGTAGCTTTTGTCAGCATCTTATTATGCTATCTGTCACATCTAGCAACTTCTCATGTCATGTCCTTTAGTTTTTCACATCCTGTTCAGTTAGCTTAACCTAGACCAGGGCCTTGGCAGTGGTCTGTAATTTTCCTGAAGCCTGGTTTTTCCCTTTCCCAAGTCAGGGCAACACCATATTCTCTCTCCAGGAAGAGTCTCGCGAGCAGTTAGTATGTCTGAATATTCACTTGTTCAAACCTACTGAAGTAATTAAATATTTAATATTAATAACTTCAAAAATATAAATATATTCTATATAAATTATATATGTGTATTTCTATAGATATGTATCTGTATAAATATCTAAATATTTAATCAAATGACACAAATTTTAAATGCGTGGAAAGCAACAGATTTGTATCTCTAAAATAATATTTCTAAAGTTTTCTGAGGGTTTTTTGTTTTCTCTGCCATCTTTGCTCCTTCTCCCCCAGCCTCTGCTTTCAACATCAAAATAAAGTGTTAAACTATTGCCTGCTCTGCTTAACAGCATCTAATCAGTTTTATAAATAGAATGCTAAGCAAGCTACTTAGTGTAATTATAAGCTGATTACATTTGGTCAGATCTAGACAAAACAGGAAAAATACAGGTAATTTCTGGTTGATCATTACTCCTGTATTTATTTAGGTAAGAAATTAACTGCTAGCTCATTACTAGAAGGACACTTGCTAATGTAGATACTTGAAGAACCAACATCCAGTTAACGTGAGCGTGATTTGTTATTGTGTGTTTGGAACTCATATCCTGTCTTCCTCTCCTTGATGCTTGGGTTTTTACTACAATACCAGCTGAAATAATCAATGAGGTGAGTTCAGGAGTCTATGCTCTTTCTTTAGCACAAGAGTTATTTTCAGGGAGTGAGTGGTTTTGTGCTTAAAAAAAAGCATTTAATGTGTTTTGACAATATAGGGATGAAAACTATGATGAATATGAACTCTAGAACCTGTGGTTATTTTCAGCATGTAATAGAAAGTAATTTTATTATGAAGTCACTGTAGAGCTTAGACTAAAAGCTTGTGTATTTTAAGTCTTTTGAAAAAATTCTATGTGAAAGGTTTAGAAAAAGGTGCTTTAGGTCAACATTAAACCTACGAAACACAGCTTATGGTAACTATGGGAACTTATTTTCAGAAACAGGTCTCCCTGTAAAACAGAGCAACTTTATTTCAGTTCAGACAGATCATTTTTTTTCCCTTTGTCATTGTGTTGAGTATGAGTTTCAAAGTAGATTCATCAATCCAAGGTGTTTTCCAACTTATATTAAAGCCTAGTGTTTGGGGGGATTAGTTGTTTCTCGTGTGCTTATCTCTGGATTTTTAATATTCTCTTTTTTGTGTGTTTAAATCCATTGATCGGGGTACCAGTATTGTTATATGAAGTCTATATTCCACTCTTGTTTTCTCTAGTTTGTCTTGCTGCAATTGTTTGCATGCATGGTAGCATTAAACCATGTTGTTTTGTTTCCTGTCTTAATCAAGCACAAGTCTTCTTCCTTTTCCTTCATTCTTCTACAGCGGATATTCTGTTTCTGGTTGCAGAAAACTCTCTGTACCCTTTCAATCCCCTGTGGCAATTCTTGCTTTCCCAAGTGCACTATTGGAAGCTCACTTCTGTGTCGTTTTTTCATGTGCACCTATAATGTGCACCTATAATGCAGCCCATAATGGCAGGCTTATGGTGTAAGGTGAAATGTTTCTGTCCTGAAGCTCTTATTAACGTTGGTAACCATTTCAGAGGGATCACAGGTTTTTTGAAAAGTAGAAACTCCAACTGCAGCATTTTGTAGGACTACTTTGGGAGTAGCAAAAAGTCCTTGTCACTGGAAATGAGTGAATAAATTTTACTGTGTGTCATTTGGCTTAAAACATAGTTGTCTGAATGTTAATTTTTTTAAGATGTCTTGTTTAAGAAGCCGTTCTTTTCAGTATTTGTCAGCTTTGAGAACTGACATAGAAGGAAAATAAATGTAGAAATCTAAAATCCAGAGTCTGAAATATACCCTGATACTAGAGCATACTTCAAGAGATGAATGTTTAGCAATATTGCAAACCCTACTGGGACTATTATTTTTTTCTTTCTGGTGAGATCTAAAGAAATGCTTTACTTGAAGAGAAAATGTGTTCTTAAAACATATATTTATTTCTAATTTTTTTTATTTTAAAGGCTTATTTGTTGTCAAATAATGTGTTACCCCAAGCTTTGGTAATTAATGCAGTAGGTGAGGAGTTGGACAGATTGTCATAATTCTTGTAAGGTGCCATCATTGCCATGCCATGACGGTGCTTTAATGCTTCAGGGGAGAAGAATGTTTGATTTACTTTCTCATTCAGAAGGGTATAAAATTTATGGCACATTAGAGATGTGTGTGAGAAAATGTCTTAGTTACTGTTGTTTTCTTCTATAGATTTTATCCCTCTTTTTAAATAAAGGTTGTTGGACTGAGATATGATTCCTTGTCTTAGACCTAACCAAAATAAATTTGAAAAATAAATACAAAAAAACTTGTTCAGACAAATTAGACTACTCTGCGTCCTGAAAAAATTCCTTCTAGCTTGGGACAATTAATGGTTATTTGCTCACTAACACACCAAAATAATTTGGAGGGGTTTTTTTTGGTTTTTTAAGAGGGGGTTTTTGCTTTCATATATTATCTTTACCTCTGTACCTCTGCACAAAGCTATCTTCTGACATTAAACGTACTGTGAATTATTTCTAAGACCCCAGCTACATGTTTCATAGTTCTCATGAAAATTTTCATCCAAGTAAGGTTTCATGCCGTACTCTTTTTGATCAGTCTTGTACTGGTATAGATTTTCAGCTACGATATCTCTGTGTACCTTGGTACCTAAATAATAATTTTTGCAAGGTTGGGTGCAGAACTTTCATTATCTTCAGGACAGTTAGTTGTGCATTGGATGACTGGCTTTGAGTTTTCATTAGGCGTGGTATAAGTTTCTGTGCTCGAAGCAGAGTTCACATTGCTGAGATCTTTTCCGTTCTGCTGTTCATGAGTTTGCGTACAGCACAACCAGTAGCAAGTGTTTTCATGGTGATAACTGGCTGGAATTAATTTTATATCCATCAGTTGTTGCATTTATTTAGGCAGGCACATGGAATGAGAATTCTTATTGATCCTGAAGAGAAAGGCTTGCACAAGCTTCAGAAAACTTTCCTGGGTAATTTTGCTCCCTTTGAGTAGTTTTAGGGCCGTGAAATTTCTTTTGCTTGCAGGAACTCTTGCATCACAGTATTCTGCATACATCAAATCCAAAGGAGTATGCTGTTTCATTATATAGTGAAATTTACTCCCATCAGTGCTTCATGTATTTGAAAACATTGACCAAGACTGAACACGTAGCAGATTTGAAGATTGTAGGGATTTTGTCAGTTTTTTAATCTTATTTGCAAAGTGTGAATGTACAGTATAATTTCTGTCGCTTTGAAGTTATTTTAATTTTGCCCTTCTTCTTTGTTGGTCTTTTTTTGATGCAGAGAGACAATGACATTGTTGCAAAGAGATTTGATGCATAACTTCTCTTTACAGTTTTCTTTTCTTTTGAATAGGAAGGAATATAAAAGATTTTTCTTCGGCTTTTGTGACCTGTGATTAAAGACTGA